GCTCCAGCCCCCCCCCCATCTCCGTTGCCCTTCTCTGGCCACGCTCCAGCCCCTCAATGTCCTTTTTGGGGCCCAAACCTGACCCCGGGATTTGAGGGGCGGGCTCCCCAGTTCTGGTCCAGGCCATGGTGCTGGTGGCCACCTTGGCCTGTGCTCTTTTCAACCCCACAGCCCAGCTTTGTGCCCACCCCGAGGAGGCTGTGAGCCAGGGATCGAGATCTTCACGTAGCCACAAGCCACGGGTAGAGCAGGAACCTCCCACAGCTGCACCATGGAGGCCACGTCCAGATTTTGGGCCAGGGAAATTCAGGTTGCCACAGAGGCCTGCTGGCTTGCCCCCCTCAGAGCCCATTACACCACGGCCACCAAGCCAAACCAGGGCTAACACTGGTGACACAACGAGCCAGAGCCACCCACAAGCCCACATTTGAGACAGCAAACCCTCAGCGTGAAAGCAGGAGCCCACTCTCCTCCCAGGTCACAGATCAGGTCAGAAATACGGGATTTTTAAGGAAAAAAAGAGATTTTCTCCCCTGCAAACCTCTAAGGCGAGGTTCTGGGGACAGGTTTATACTCACGGGGATGCTGGCGGTGCCGCCGGCCCCAAACCTGGCTCCAGCATCAAAACCCCCTTCCACGAGGACGGTGGAGCCTGGGGGATAAACCGGCCCCACGGGGTAATAGGCCACGGGCACTGAGGAGCCCAGTGGCCCCACGGCCACCGACTGCGCCACGGGCAGGAATACGGAGGCGCCCGGATACGCCGCTGACATTGTGGGGACAGTGGCGGCTCCCAGGGGCACGAAACTGGGCCGGTAAAGCTGGGAAAAATTAAAAAACATGAGAGAATTATTCATAGCCCACGCCCAGGTCACGAGCCGCGACGTGGACTTTCACCCTCCCGCTTGCACAAGGGGATCCCCTCCCCGAGCGTTTACTTTGAAGAATTAAGGAAGTAAGGTTAAAAAATGACGTTTTTCCCCACTTTTGGAGAGTTTTTAACCCCTCCAACACAGAGTTATTTTCATTTTATGGTGAAATTTGTCCTCTTAAAGCAAGGGGAAGCTTTGAACGTTTGCACTTTTGAGGGGATGAGCCAGATCTCGGCAGCAAATGAGTCCCCAGGTTAAAAAACCCCCACAATTATCAACATTTTCAGCGATTTTGATTCTTTTTCCTTTGGAGGATCCCCCTCCCCTACCTCGGAGTACGCCGGGGGGGCGTCAGTGTACGGCGGCGGCTGCGGCAGGGGCACGGTTGGGGGGTACACGGCGGGGTTTGGGGGGGACTGGACCGGGTAGGACGGTGGGGCAGGATATTGGCCTGCAAAAAGAGGAGAAAAAGGTGAATTCAAGCCCTCCACGACGCTGACAAGTTGATTTATTATTTTTTAAAGCCATGTTTCTTGATTATCACATGAGCAGAAGGGCAATTAACGTGAGGTATTTATTATCCAGATGATCAACAACCCCGAAGCGCAGACACCCCAAACACCCCAAAAAGTGCAAAAATAAACTGTCCCTGTTGAGCGATGGGAGGGCAGAAAGCCCAGAAATGGGCAAAAATAAGGCAAATAAACGGAGTTATTCTGGGTCGTAGCCAGGACTCGCTCCTAGGTCCTGAAAACTGAAACCAAAACAAAACAGAGCCCAAAACCTGGGGCCT